TTTTGATCGCTTAGATGTTACTTGGTGCTTCCTAACTGGTGTCTAATTTCGGTTCACAGTTTACATTAGATGTTGATTTGCTCAGGTGGAATTCAAAGTGTGAGAGTCACCACGCTGAATGGCATCCCCCCCCCCCCCCCCCCCCCCCCCTTTTCCTCTGACTTTCACGCGCCCAGCTTTTATATTTAGGTCACTGATCAATTGTAGCCTAATTTTTGTATGAACTGTGAGTTCAGAATCGGCTTTCGTGTGTCTCTTTAGTTGTTTGGCAGTATTTGGTGAAGGACGTTTTCCTTTTCCACTGGTACTCACTGCTGGTGTGTAGAACAGTAGCTGGCTGTTACCAGTTTTTCTGTATTTGCTTTAGTGGCTTTCTTGGCACATTATTGGGATTTTCCCCTTCCTTCCTTCCTTCCTTCCTTCCTTCCTTCCTTCCTTCCTTCCTTCCTCCCTCCCTCCCTCCCTCCCTCCCTCCCTCCCTCTCTCTCTCTCTCTCTCTCTCTCTCTGTCTCTCTTTCTATGAAGCCTATCCTGGAACTGGCTCATGTTTAACAGGCTGGCCTCAAACTCACAGAGATCTGCCTGCCTTTGCCTCCTGAGTGCTGGAATTAAAGGTGTGCACCGCCACCGCCTGGAGTATAGGATCATCCTGTCTGCAAATGGATTTACTTCTTCTTTCTAATTTGGATACATTTCATTTTTTTTCTTTTCGAGACAGGGTTTCTCTGTGGCTTTGGAGCCTGTCCTGGAACTAGCTCTTGGTTGGCCTCGAACTACTGAGGGCTGAGGTTAAAGGCATGTGCCTCCATGCTCGGCCTCCCTTGCTTTTGTTCCCTTAGTGCTCTGGCTTGAACTTCTCTGCCATATTGAACAGCAGTCATGAAAGCAAGCATCCTGGCCTTGCTCCTTGTGTTTGAGGAAAGCTTTTGAGTCTTTGACCACTGAGTGTGATGTTAGCTGTGGGTTATAAAGACACCTTAACATATCAAAGAAGTTTCTTTCTGTTCATAGTTTTCTGATAATTTATCATTAAAGGGTGTTGGATTTTTAGTGATGATTTTTTCTGAATCAACTCAAATAGTGATGTTGTTTTTCCATTTTGTTCTACTGATGTATCACACTGGTTCCTGAAGTGTTTATCCTTGGAATGTTTTATCTAGCTTGGGGATCTAGAATACAAGTCAGTTAGGAATTGTTTTCTTCTTCCTGTTTCTTTGGGCGAGTCTGGGAAGGATTGATGCTGATTCTTCAAGTGTTTCTGGTCATGCCATCTGTTACCACCTTTTTGTTGTTGGTAGGAAGGTTGTGATTTCTCAGTCAGTTTCCTTGTTTTGAGTCCGTTGAGATTTTCTATTTCTTCTTGAGTCAGTTTTTGTAATTTGTGGATTTAAAAAATAATTGTCTGTCTAATTAGCTTATCTAGTTTGGTGGCAAATGATCGTTCATAGTATTATTTTGTGTTTTATTTATTTTGAAAGATTGGTGACAATACCAAGTCATTTCTGATTTTATTGTCTTTTTAATATATATATATATGTGTATGTTTTAAAGTCAGTTGTAGCTGGGCGATGGTGGTATACACGGTTAATCTCAGCACTCAGCACTCAGGAGGCAGAGGCAGTTGGATCTCTGTGGGTTCAAGGCCAACCTGGTTTACAAGAGCTAATTCCAGGGCAGGCTCAAAACTACAGAGAAAGCCTGTCTTGAAAAACCAAATAAATAAATAAGTCAGTTATAGCACAATTAATAACTCAGAGACAGATATTGAGGTTCAATCTGAATATCAGGGAAGCAGAACAGCCAGCCATTGGCTCTTACTTTACCTCAGTCTGAAATGATGATCCTGCCTCCAGGAATCCTCAGAATGAGACTGCCTGAGAGCTGTCTCCTGTCTTATATTCATTCCTCTCTAGTGCTGGGATTAAAGGTGTGTGCCACACTGCCTGGTCTGTACGGCTGACCGTTGCAGCTGTTTTACTCTCTGATCTTCAGACAAGCTTTATTTATTAAAATACAACTGAAATATTACTACAGTCAGTCTAGCTAAAAGTGTGTTGACTCCTTGCGTTATTTTTGTGTATGAAGATTCTGCCAGCGTGTATGTCTGTGCACCATGTGAGCGCCCTCGTGCCTGCAAAGGTCAGAAGAGGACTTTGTGGAGTTCCTGGAACTGGAGTTGTGGATGGTTGTAAGCTATCAATCATGTGGGTGCTGGGAATTGAACCCACGTCCTCTGCAAGAGCAACAGCTGCTCTTAATGGCTGAGCTATCTCCCCCAACACACCTGTATTTTTTGAGACAAGATCTATGTTACCCTGACTGTCCCGGGGTTCACTATGAAGACCAGGTTGACCCGTAACTTGCAGAGATACAACTGCCTCTGTCTCTAGTGCTGGGATTAAAAGTGTGTGCCACCACATTCAGAAGGCTGACTTTGTTGTTGTTGAGACAAAGTCTTGTTATGAACCCCTGGCTGGTCTTGAACTTGCACTGACTTTCCTGCCTTTGCCTTTCCAATGCTGGGATTATAGACATATGCTACCATGCCTAGATCTTCCAACTCTTTTTTTTTTTCCAATACTGGGATGGAACCTGACACTTGGGTATGCTAGACAAACACCTTTTTACATGGAGGTGTTAGCTATCTAGAAGTACTGCAGTTGAATGTGAGGCCCTAGATGGTTAGTCAGGTCTCACTGGCTTGGCTCCTGTGTCCTCATTTACGGTTTTGATCTTCTGTTCATAATCGGAAATGAGTATTGAAGTTTTTGGATATAAATTGTAGAACTGCCTGTTTCTCATTTTTGGCTTCGTATTTTAGTATTCAGGACAGGATTTCTCTGTGAAGTCCTGGCTGTCCTGGAACTCACTCTGTAGATGAGGCTGCCTTCGAACTCACAGAGATCCGCCTGCCTCTGCCTTCCAAGTGCTAGGGATTAAAGGCGTGCGCCACCACTGCCCTGCTTCTGTTTTTCAGGCAGTGGTATTTGTTTCATATATTTTGTTTTTATGTTCTTTGGTGCATATATGTTAATAGTTGTTAATATTCTTGATGAACTGACCTTCTTATTGACATATAATATATCTTTTTGACTCTTGTTACACACATACACACACTTTTTCTTTTGTGTGTGTGTGTATGTGTGTGTGCATGTCTGTGTGCAGATGTATGTGCTTGTATGACTGTATAGTCCTGAGGTCAATTTCCAGTGGTGTTCTTTGGCAACCATCCTGAATCTTGCTTGTTGAGACATGGCTTCTGACTGGACTGGACTGCTGATTAGGTTCGGCTAGGTGGCCAGTCAGCCCCAGGAATCTCCTGTCTCTGCCTCCTCAGCTCTAGGATAAGTGTATTCAACAACACCTACTTTATGTGGGTATAGGGAATCGAACCCAGGTCCTCATGCTTGTATGTCAAGCATTCTACTATATGAGCTATCTTTCCAGGTTTACATTTTTTTTAATTTAAAGTTTATTGTCTGATATTATTATGGTTTCTCAGCTCTTTTGGTTACTATTTACATATGTTAGTTTTTTAAAAAAATTATTCTAATTTTATCCATGCATAGTGTCATATACCTTTAATTCCAGCTCTTGGGAATCAAAGCCAGGCAGTTCTCTGTGGGTTGGAGGCCAGCTTGGTCTACACAGTGAGTTCCAAGACAGCCAGGGCTACATAGTGAGACCCTGCCTTGAAATAAAACACAACAAAGAAATGAAAATATTCTAACTTTCAATATATATATATGTCTTTGGATCTAAAGTGATTTTCTTACACATAACGTACAGTCAACATCTCGTCTGTCTTTAAAGTAAAGTTTTACTGGAACATAGACAAGCCCATTTGTTGACATACTGTTTGTAGCAGTTTTTATGGTGCCATGGTAGAGTTTGAGACATGGCAGTGGAGACTCTGCTTTGCGGATCCTGAAATAGTTACTGCTGGATTCTTTTTAGGATGTTTGCTGACTCTGGTCTAGAACGCCTTTTTTAGTTTCCTTGGCGATAGTCAATAGTATACAGTCTCACATAGCAGTAGCCTGGTGAGATCTGTCATGTGTAGCCTGATTTATCCCGAACCTTGTAAAGTGGGAAGTTCTAACAACGCATCTGGGCATTCCAAAGCCTTAGCTGCGTGAGAAGGGGAGCAAGTTTAAAACCTTCAGGTTAGGGTTGGAGGTAGCATGGCTGGGATGTGGTCACCCGGTGGTGACTTCATTCGTGTGGCTAACTGTTCTGATTTCCTGGGATCGGGACACTTCTGGAACACATTTTAGACTTCATTTGTCTCTGTAGGTTTATCTATACACAGGTAGGTGTGTGTGTATGTGTGTGTTGAAGCCAGGAGCCAACTTCGGGTATTTTTCTTCAGGAGCTACCCATCTTGATTTTGGAGACAGGCTCTCTCCCTAGGCTTGGGGCTCACTGATTATGTAGGCAGGCTAGCCAGGGAGCCCCAGGCATCTACTGCCTGGCTTCATGTCCCCAGTGCTGGGATTACAAGTGCATGCCAACATATCTGTTTTTTTCTGTGGGTGCTGAGGATTGAACTCAGGTCCTCAGTTTTTCACAGAAAGCACTTTACTTAATTACCTGAGCTATCTTCTAGCCCAGGATTTTAGTCTTAAAAGTTCAGTTGCCCTACAGAAAGAACTACAGACAACTGGGGTATACTGGGAGTGGGAGAAACAGTGTTGCCCAGAGAAGAGCAAACTGATTGGTTTTCTAGTACCAAATGGTTAACCCTGAAATCATCCTTATAAGTAACATTATATGTACTGAACAGCTTATATTTAGGAATATATATGCATATGCATATATGCATGTAGTACCAATGAAAAAAAGAGGCCATGAATTTGAAAGTAAGGAAGGGTATACGGGATGGTTTGGAGAGAGGAAAAGGAAAGGAGAAATGTAGTCACAAAGTTGTCAGCTGTCCCCCCCCCCCTCCCGGCAAATCACTTAGTCCTCAGAGTCTAACTTGTGCCCCTCTGCTCTAGTGCCATTCAGGGAAACCCCCAGCTATGCAAAGCGACGGCGTCTGGCTGGCCCAAGCGGCTTGGCATCCCCTCGACCCTTACAGCGCTCAGCCAGTGATATCAACCTGAAAGGCCATGCCCAGCCCGCAGCTTCTCCCGGGCCCACTCTCCGAAGCCTCCCTCATCAACTGCTGCTTCAGCGGCTTCAGGAGGAGAAAGACCACCGGGACAGGGATAGTGAGCCGGAAAAGGACATCAGTGGCCCTGCAGCAGGCAGGGGTAGCCACAACAAGATCAGGTAGGAGGGTACGAGTGGTCCTGGGGGGCATCAGAGTGGGCCGAGTGCTATGACCAACCAGAGCTGAAAGGCAGGGAAAGATGGTTCGTGGTACCTGCGCTGGCGGTGATGGGTGGGGCTCGTGGCCGGAGTTCCTGGGTGGCTTTACTCAGGCTGATCTCCGGTAGAAACTGGGGCTTTCTCTGGGGATAGCGGTCAGCGGAGGGAGTTGTGGGTGGAGAGGGTATGGTCCAGGTTGTTGTTAGAAAGTTCATTTGCAGCAGGGAAACTGGTGATACTGGTAGGAAGTGGGTTGGGACATGCCTTTCTATGTAGGCTCAAGGCCTGCAAGTGAGAGGTAGCGCATCCTCCCCCCCCCCCCCCCGCATCTCTGCAACCCAGGCCCAGCCCTGTAGACATACCTACTTTTAACCTCCCTCCTGAGTCCTGGAATTGCGAGAAACCAGGATATTTGCAGCACTGATTTCCCCGTAACTTAAGAGTAGGAAGCGTAGCCTGGAGCTCTTAGCCCTTTATAGACTTAAGAGTAACCACCTTGCTGGCTCCTCACCAGTCCAGTGCAAGGTGTTTCCTTTGAGAAGCTCTCTGGGGTTGCCTGTGAGGGTTCGACTTCTTAGACCCTGGTACGCTGTCTGTGTTAACCACTAGTTGTAGTCTTAAATTTGCCTGGCGGTCAGGAGCTATCCTTCTGGCCTCCTGCCGTTTCTCCAGAGCCAGGTCTAGAGAAGGTGTTTGGAAGCCTGTTGGATGCAAGTGTTACATAAGCAGCATGTTGTTTTCACAGTGTCGGCCAGCTCTTACAGCCCTATGGGTTGGTGTACCACTGGGCTGAGCAGCAGAGCCTGTCACTCAGCTAACCTCGATCGCTTAGGCTGTCTCTGTTGACATCATTGTACAGGCTGGGGTCCTGAGGCCCAGCTTGGGCCGGAGACTTGTTTAAAGTCACAGGGAGTAGGGATCAGCTGACCTGGGTACAGGTGTTTGGTAGAAGGCATTTGATGCAGATTACATGAAGCTTTCCCTTCTGCGTTGTTCCCCTGCGTATGCTGCCTGCTTCTAGGGCTGTAGGCGTCTCGGAAGCCCCCCCCCCCAAGGTTGTCAGTTTGGTTCCATATCACAGTTCTCCCCTGAAGCTTTTGCGTTGCCCCTCAGGTTTTCTAAGAATCGAATGGGTTGGTGGCTGAAAGAGTGCATTCTAGGATGTCGCAGTTTGCCAGGAGGGCTGCTTTCGAGTGGAACTGTATGGCTGCCACTTTGGTCCCTTTCATTTGTGCTTGCTGAAGCTTGCAGCAGGCACAGAACAAATGCCTCTTTTCTAGGGTCTCCAGCTCACCTGCTCTTTGGGAGGGCGGAATTCCTTCTTCTCCACATTTATTAGGTGACTCGAGTGCCCGATCTGTGTGTCTGTGCGTGTGCGCGCGCGTGCGTGTGTGCGTGCAGGCACCTAAGCTTGCGCAGCTTGCCTATGGCTCACCCCACCCCCCACCCCCACGCCCCAATCTCAGCAGTGGTTCTGAGGAAGTAGAAAGCTGGGCTTGGGGCTGAGAAGCACTTAGAAGAGTTGTGGTACAGGTTAAGGAGGCTTACCTGGTGTGACAGTGGTCTGTCTGGATGTGGAGAGCAAGTTGGGCGCACTGAGGAGGAAGAGACCCCTTCAGGCACAGGTTGCCTGTTTTGCAAACAAAACCAAAACGGATGGTGTTCATGGACCCTGGTGGGACTGCATTGGCTCATTGTTGCTCGCTGTTGGCTGAGCCTGGCATGGAGCCCAGAAATATGGTCTGTAGGTTTTTGCTCCAACACCATAGTGGAGCCCACAGGGGCAAATTTGAATCGGATTCAGTAACTTAATCTCTGGTCAAAAGGGCAGGGTCATAGTTGTCTAGGTGGTGTTAACAGTGTAGCGTATTTCTTAAGTCTCAGGGAGCTGGTCATTGGCAGAGCAGGTGAATTTGTCCTGTCTGGGAACTAGGGAGCCCAAGCAGGCTTTTGGGCAAACAGGAAAATCAAGACCTCAGAGTCTATACCCAAGCCCAGAGAAGTGGTATGGGAAAGGTGGTTAACATATAATGAGCATGGGCATTAGACAGGTGTCTAAGGCGAGAGGAGACAGGCCCGGAGGCAGGAGAATTGGGGCGCCCAGTGCATGCTGGTGGTCAGGGTGTGAGGAGGCCGGACCGCTGCGCCCCGCCTGTCCTTCCCTGATGCCCGAAGCCTCGGTGCCAGCCCTTCTCCAGCTCCTACCTGGCACTTCTGGCCGGCGTCCCCCGTGCGCCCACCTTCTGGCTCTCGTTGTTTCTCTCCAGCCGCCCGCGCGGGGGTCGGTCTGTTGGGGGCTCCGCGGACCCGGGGCGAGCCGGCCGCCGCCGCCCGCAGAGGGAGGAGCTGGCGGAGGAGGCGGGGCGCGGAGCGGCCGTGGCATGGAGCGAGCCCGGCGCGCCCGGGAGCGCAGCCCCGCGGCCCCCGAGCCCTGAGCGGGCGCGGTTCGTGCGCTGGCGGGAGCGGGCCGGGCGCGGCGGCGCGGCCCATGGAGCGGCCCCGGGCCGGGCCCCCGGCGGGCGGGCGGGCGGCGGGCGGGCGGCGGGCGCTGCGGCGGCGGCTGCGGTGAGGCCGGCGGCGGGGCCGGGCCGTGCGCCATGGAGGCCCCGGGCGCCGGCTTCGCGTGCCCGCTGCCCCCCGGCATCGCGTCCGTCACCTACGTGTTCGTCTACAGCCCCAGCGGGCCCGGCGGATCCGGCCCCGCGCCCGGCCCCGGCCCGGCGTCTCCCGCGCCCCCCGCGCCGCCGCCCCGGGGCCCGAAGCGGAAACTTTACAGTGCCGTCCCCGGCCGCAAGTTCATCGCTGTGAAGGCGCACAGCCCGCAGGGCGAGGGCGAGATCCCACTGCACCGCGGCGAGGCCGTGAAGGGTGAGGGGCGCGGGCGGGCGGGGTGAGGGGCGCGAGCGGGCTGGGGGGCGGGCCCCGGGGCACGCGGCCTAGTTCAAGTCATTTTGGGGTCTCTGTGGTTGGGGTGTCTCTGGGTCATGACAGCAAGCTGCTGTGCCTGGGTCTCTGCCTCTGGCCCTGGTCTTACGGGGCTCCTGGCATGAAGCTCTAGCCCTGTCATGGTAGAGGCTTGGCTCTTGTGGGGCGGTTCTTGTTGTGATGGGGGCCAACGCCAACTGGGTCCTTGTGTTGGAAGGACCCTAACCCATTACAGAGCTCCCACGCCTTGTGGGGTTCCTGTGTCACTCTGGGGCTTCTTCATTGGAAATCCTTGGGATACAGGTGAGGGGGGCTTGTTTTGTCATCTTCCGGGGATCTGTAACAGTTGTGGTTGTCCGTGCACAGTGCCCATTTCTTCCATGGATGATGCCTATTTTGGGGAGACAGGCCCATCTCATCATGGGGCCCCCTGTCATTATTGGGTTCCTACCTTGGGCACTGTGGCTCTGAGGTGGAAGTAGTTGTGAAGATCAGTCCTCCTGGTACATCATGTGGCTCACTCCACTGCCTGCCTCCCGATGACCCTGAGCTCTTGGCAGTGACTCTTGGGTGGACGTCAGTTACCATGGTTGGGGGAAGTGGTCACTGTGGGCAGGAGCAGTAGTGTGGCCCCTGCTTCTGCCTCTGTCCTCTTCAAGTGTGTCCATCTGTGTCTGTCTGTCTCCCACATGTCCATCCTTCACTGAGGCCATCTGTTCAATTCTCTCTTCCATGTGGATCCCAGAATCTTCCCAGGGAAAAGGCTAGGGGGAATGTGGGCTTGGGAAGAGAGCAGAGCCTGGGTTAGGGCCTGTGGGCACACCTGAACCTCAGGTGGCAGGGACGTGGGTGCCCCCCCCCCAGCTCTGCTTTGCCCTGACAACCTGTCTGGCTTCTTTCCCCAGTGCTCAGCATTGGGGAGGGCGGTTTCTGGGAGGGAACCGTGAAGGGCCGTACTGGCTGGTTCCCAGCTGACTGTGTGGAGGAAGTGCAGATGCGACAGTATGATACACGGCACGGTAAGTGACCCCAGTGTTGCCCAGGTAGCCCCCAAAGGGCGTATGCTTCTAGTCTCCCTTTGGTCTTCTTGGTAACAAATATGGACGTTCACTAAGACTGCGGAGTTAACTCAGTTACACTCAAGGTACATACAAATTTGTACATACACACTGCGGGTAAGCCTACATGTCCTTAGGAACATGATTGTGTGAACCCGACAACAGTGGAGAACCTTTGCCATGCCAACAGGAGGTAGACACTCATGGGCATCCTCTCTCCGTGTGGGGGCACTTGAGTCTCCAGGGATGGTGACCACCCCTCTGGCCCTGGTACAGTCTTTACAGAAATCCCAGGTTCTTAGAGCTCCGGATCACGAGCGGCTGGTAGATACGTAAGGAGGTCAATGCGAGAAAAGAGGCACTTTTCCAAAGTGGACAGATTGCCCAAGTGGGCAGAGCAGGAGGCCTGGACTAGCTAAGAGGAAATGAGGCCAGTTGGGCTCCAAGGAGTCATTCGGGGTCCTCTGGGGTTGATAACGTCTCAGGGAAGCTAGCTGATGAAGGATGGCCCCTGTTGTATAGAAACGGGAAGGTGAGGGCTGCGACTCGTGGGGCTGCTGAGCAGCTATGGACCAATGCTGAACACTTGGACTTCTAGGAAGGCTCCCTTTAGGCATCAGTGAAGCAGTGGCTGGTCCTCTGGAGCCCCCATGTGGGCTGGGTACACGTCCGGGATATACCCCTTAATTGAGTCCTCAGGTATGCTGGGAGGCCTCATGATCAATGATATTATTTCCGGTCCAGACAGTGAGTATGACAGTTGACATATTAGGGGGAATATGACACTCCTTCTAAGTGGTGGTCCGGGATGGTGATCAGTGGTATGTCTGGATCAGCGTACATGTGTCCCTTTCTCTGTACATAGAGGGTTTGGGCCCTGGGTTTAGGGCCTCTACCTTAAGTTGGCAGTTTCCCAGGGGAGCCCCCCACCATGTGGCCAGGAGCCTTGACTCTGTGTTCCACTTGAGGGATGCCTCGCTTACACGGGAGCTCAGTTGCTGGCCTCCTGCTGGATAGCTGCCTTGCTTTCTCTGCTAGTGGCTGGGAATATTGGAGGGAGTAGCTTCTCTTATTCACAGTCTGTGGAGAGTAGACGGAGTGGGATCCAGGTGAAAATGATTTCTGGGGTTTGGATCCTATTTCCAAGAGGACAGAGAAAGGGACAAGGGGTAGGAGAGGGGCTGCACACCTGTTGAATAGGAGCTAGTCTTGTGCCTTCCCGTAAGGATAGGGATACGGTTCTGAGAACCGTGGCTCCAGGAGGGAGCTTTGGAGTCAGGCTTCAAGAGGGGTGGATGTTTGTTTCTCTCCAAGCTGGACCTTATGCTGGCTCTTTGTGGCTATGGCAAGTATTGTCCCATGTCCTCCCCCGCCCCCAGCCCCACTCCGGGCATAGGCCCTTGAGAGTGGGTGATCCAGTTAGCCTGAGGAAGTCAAAGAGGACTTCAAAGCAGAGGTGTTGTTTAGGCTGACTTCTCTGGGTAGTTTGCAGGTGGGTCTCCCATGTTTATAGGGATCCAACACAGTGTTTTAGAACTATGCCCGTTGCCAACTTCTGTATTTGAGCAGTGCCAGACATGATTTTAGCATTTTTTATATGAATGAAATTGTATACATATTGTAGCAATCTTGGGAGGTGGGGCCAGTGGTCAGTATGTTTCCGGGACATCATTAACTGCAAGGGACAGGGATGTTTAATTTAGTTTTTATTTTGCTTTGCCAGCAGTTAGCTTTGTGAGGCATGGCACAGCTGGAGTAGGGAGCATGATCTTAGCGACCTGTTCTTGGGGTCAAGATAAAGAGTAATCTTGTAGTAGGAGCTGACTGAGCAGATTATTTTAGGGTGAAGATCAAGATCTGGGCAAGGCAGACCGGAGAGTAGGGAGTGTCAAGGTCACGGAGAAAGGAGAGGGCCACAAGGGAAGTAGTGACATTTTCTAGCAAGCACAGGACTCCTTAGCAGGGCCACAGCTGTCACAATGACCTGCGGGAGTGGGATTCAAAAGTACCTAAGTGGACGGGAGCCACGTTTGCGGGCCTTGCTCTAGCTGCCTTCTGGGAGTGGGGTAGGAGCAGTCATAGGTAGCCTTCCTCTGACCTCAGCTACAATGCCTGTCTTGCTGGTCTGGGCAGAACTTGTCTGGGATTTAGGCTGAGTTGTGCCAGAGAGCAGAGGGCATCCTACCAACAGGAACCTGTTTCCAACACCCCCGCCCCAACTCTAATTCAGGAACCAGAGTGGGAGTGAGGGACTTTTAAAGACCAAGGACTAAGGACAGGTGCTGAGGTGCTAGGTTAGGTCGGCATGAGCAGAGGAGACAACCTCTATAACCGGAAATGCTGAGGCCGGCGAGTGTAAGGATCTCGAGGCCTAACATACCTTCCCATGCTGTCTGCCTTTTCCCCTTCCAGAATGTTCCACTTGGGAGCTGGTGCTGGGCATATTCCTTTCAGCTGGCTTTCCCGGGTGTGATTAATAAGACCAGAACACGAATTTGTGTTATATAATAAATAGTTTGTTTGGTTGATGAAAATGTGCAAAACAGGAGGCTGTGTGATAGAAAGTGACCAGGATAGGACTGCTCCACTGTGCTTATCTCTTAGGGTCAGGGGTAAGATCTGGGTAGGGCACAGCAGAGGGGTGGGTGGGGTCAGCCAAAGTCATAAAGAAGGATGCAGGCTGCAGAGGAGCTGCTGTGAGGCTGGTGGGACTTGGGGCTTCCTGTCCACTGCAGGGCTCCCAGACAAGGTTCAGCTAGCATAGCATCTATGTGCCTGGGTCAGCTTGAAGAAGGATATGTTGGAGATTGGAATTTCAGGGCCTGATTGTGCGAGGGTGAGGCTTCACCTGCACTGGTCTTGGGGATGGGTGGCAAGGTGTGTTTGTCACTTAGAGCAGGACAAATGCAGGGAGTAAGCAAGCTGATGCGGCTAGAATGTAACAGGCTATTCTAATCCGGGCGCTTCCAAGCCGGCTTTTCCTGCTGTGTCAAGAGAGGTTCAGGTAGAACAGCTCACTTATTGAGAGTCTCACACATAGTGAAGTCTGGACCAGTACTTTTCTTGATAGCCGTGTCATCTGATGTGAAGATCACCCAATCACTGCTCTATTCCTGTCTGTGTCCATCTGTCTTTTAGCTCCTTGATTCATCTGTCTGTCCACCTACTTATCCAGCAACCTATCCAGCCCTCAGCTCCCCCTTTTCTCCATCCACATATCCCTCCTGTCCGTCCGTCCGTCCGTCCATCCGTTCGTCTGTCCATCCATCCATTCGTCCATTCATCCATTCGTCTATCTATCTTTTATCCATCCATCCATCCATCCATCCATCCATCCATCCATCCATCCATCCATCCATCTTTTGACCCATCCATATATTCCCTCATCAACCCATCCAGTCGTACGCACTTTGCATTATCTTATGTCTCATCCATCCGTTCGTCCATGCATCAATGCAGTCACCCACTCACCTGGCCGGTTGTGTTCCACCTGCTGTATGCCCGGTTGAGCTCTTGGGACCCCAGGAGTAATTACATCTCATCTTTTGCGTTAAGGAGCTCACAGTTACTGAGAAACCAGGTCATAAAAAACTCTGTTTTTGCTGGGTATGGGAGGCTCATGCCTGAAACTCTAGCACACAGAAGACTAAGAAAGATATCCCCGAGTTCAAGGCTCAGGCTATATGTAGTGAGATCTTGTCTCAGAAAAAAAAATTCAAAACAGGGTGCTGTAAGACTCTGGTACCCAGTACCCACATTATATCTAGAGGATCTGGCTCCCTCTTCAGGCCTCTGAGTGCCCCAGACATATATGTGGTATATATATACATACAGGGAAATACATAAAGTAAAAACAAACAACTCTTTTTTTAAAACCCCAGACAATAGAGAACCTAACTGAGAAACCCATAGTTTCCCTCTGATCTCATTTTCTATCCGTGCGCCTCCCTCTGCTCCTGCTGCATTGGCTCCACACTGTTCCTGTCTGCTTCAGATTAATGCCATGTGCATGATCTTCTCCTTGGCTGTCTCACCCTCCTACCTGCAGGCTGCTCCCTCGGCTGTCTGGACCTCTGCTCAGCTCTTCTTTCTGCTGAGGCCTTCGCTGTCCCTAGAACTGTATTTTCACACCCCTATCCTGCTCGCGTTTCTCCAGTTCTTACTTGTTTATTCCATTTCTCGGGGTAGCTTATTAACTCCTCAAAGGCAGGGACTTTGCTCTGTTCTAGAGTAAACAGTGCCTGGCATGTAGTAGAGGCTTAGTGAATGGATGCTGAAGTGAAAAATTGAGTCTTGAAAGGTGCTATAGCAAGAGGGACTGAAGGAGGGAGGTGCTGAGGGATGAAATTGAAAACAGTGGTGGTGCCATCTTGCGGCCTTCTGAGGCACTGCAAGTGCAGCCAGAGGAGCCATTCTGAACCTCGAATCTGTTGTCTATTGCAAGGCTAAGTGAGGGTCAGCGGGAGGTGTGTGCTGACCAACTCCATGGTGTCTATGAAGAGCTTTGAGATCAAAGGACATATTAACATATTCTGTGGAATTTATTAATATAGTCCTATGGGATACAGTGATATTAACATAGTTACTGTTGTAGTTATTAATTATTATATTAATATAGCTCATTGGGATACAGTGAAGTCAGGGTAGAAGCAGAGCTTTTTGTAATCTCTTTCCTCATTCCTTGAGGAAACTAGTGGACACCCTGGGGTGCGTCCACACTGGTGCGCATACGCTCACAGCCTAGACACGTACATATGCCTGAGCCCAACACTTGGATTGTACACACTGTGGGTTGTACACACCCGTGTTTGTTACTAATGACTGGAGTCATGTCCACATAACAGATATGGCTCTCACTTGGACAACATGAGTGGGTGCCAGACACACAAGCACCAACACAGCATTTATACTTTACCGTGAGGTTCACATACATGTCCTCTCAGCATACGACTTGCTGACTGGACCAGTCTGGCCTTGTATGGTTTTCTGTGTCTAGCTGCATGTTAAGTAAGGGGTTGGGGGTGGGAGCTGCTTTCTTCTTGGGCCCTAACTCCCAGAGGCCAGAATTCCCTGTATGATTATCTGAACCTTCCGACCTCAGGACGCTTGGTCCTTGAGCCCCAGTATTTGCCCTCCTCCGCTCCCTGTTGCACCTCTGCATTGGGGCGCGTGGGGACACAAACTGATCAGTGCAGTTTGGGGAGATTCAGCTAGGTAGAAGTCATGATCATTTCTTGGCCCTTGCTGCTCCCTCCAGAAACCCGAGAAGACCGGACAAAACGTCTCTTCCGTCACTACACTGTGGGTTCCTATGACAGCCTCACTTCACACAGGTATTGGCAGGGGTGTGGACACATGGGGACACTAGCTGGACCTAGTATATCCTATGAAAGGGGAAGTCGGGGTGTATGGAGGGGGGAGGTGGATGAGGAGTGGGTGGCTAGCTACCTCTGTTTTTCTTGTTCTAAGTTGACTGTGTGTGGGACCCCGTAGGGTCGGCCTCTCGGCTAGGCTCCCTCGGGGCTCCCCTCACTCAACCTTGCTTTCCTCTGTCAGTGATTATGTCATTGATGACAAGGTGGCTATCCTGCAAAAACGGGACCATGAGGGTTTTGGCTTCGTTCTCCGGGGAGCCAAAGGTAATGGGTGTGGATTTCATGAGGAGGGTACTGCATTGCTGGTGATGTCTTCTATGCCCTGCCCTTTTCTCCCCCTTTTTAAGCCCCCCCCACCCCCGCCCCATGGTTGTATGTCTTGATTTGGAATGTCCCAGGACAAGGCTGCGGGTCCCTTTTTGTTGCTTCCCATTTAGTTGTGGGGAGTCTAACAGAGTAGAGATCTATTTGGGGAGAGTGAATGGGGGACTTCACAGAGGGATGTACACTGGTCTGGGTATCCCCATCTGCTGCCCACCCCACCCCAGGTTTCTGTGCCCGAGTAGGCAGGTGCCCCGAGCTGGCCGAGGTTGCTCTGTTGAGCTGTCACTAGCTGTGCTTGTGAGTGCCTTTTCTCTTCCTCTCCCTGCAGCAGAGACCCCCATTGAGGAATTCACACCCACACCCGCCTTCCCTGCGCTCCAGTACCTGGAGTCTGTAGATGTGGAAGGTGTGGCCTGGAGGGCCGGGCTTCGAACTGGGGACTTTCTCATCGAGGTGAGACCCCTAGCTGTCCTTGCCCTGCAGGAGGGGAGGGTGCTCCCAGCTCCTGAGCTCTGAGGTGGGTGGCACTCGGACACACTGCCTAGCTGCTTATCTGTCCCAGGTGAATGGAGTCAACGTCGTGAAGGTGGGTCACAAGCAAGTAGTGGGTCTCATCCGTCAGGGCGGCAATCGCCTGGTCATGAAAGTCGTGTCCGTGACCAGGAAACCCGAAGAGGATGGTGCTCGGCGCAGAGGTGAGTTCAGATGGCTGTCTGTCGGGTCTTGCCCCTGGCACTTGGCCCTAGCCCTTTAACTCCAGGCCCACATTCCTCTCCCCTCCTCTGATCCCACATTGCTGACATCCCATTTCTGCCTGAGATGACATGAGATGCCCTCATTTGCTGCACGGGTCCTTGATGTCAGATAACCTGACCCTCCTGACCAGGCCTCTGACCCTGGTCCTTGATTCCCCCGCCTCAGATCCCTGTCCTCCTCTTCTGTGAATCCCCCAGCCCTGGTGTGGCAGAGCCCTCCTTCCCAACGCCAGCAGCTGCCTGGAGGCCGGGTTGTCATGGCAACTGTGAGGTTGACGCTGCTGCTGCTGCTGCTTATTGTGCAGGGAAGGGGGAGGCGGCACCTGAGGGAAGAGGAAAAGCGTCTTCTCCCCGCGCCGACGCCAAAGACGCGGCACAGCCTGGGCCTAAGAGGCTTTACCGCTGGCCCGGCCCGGGTGTGTGGCTTGCCTGGCCGCACTGGTCTCACAAAGAGCAGTGGTACCTGGGCCTGGGGTGCTTTAGGCAGCAGGAGGTAGTCTGGCAGGAGATCCACCCAGCCCCCCATGGGTGGTGCCCACTCACTGGGGCCTTGGAGCCCGCAGGGTGGATGCTCAGATCAGAACCAGCCAGCCTCCTAATGTCTGCTGGTACTCTTACTACCATTTGAGGCCTTGGCCCTGGGAGTCTTAAGGGCCCTGGGGGCCCATCTGCCCTGGCTCCACTGCTCCCTGAGCGCCTCACGCCATGAAGAAGTTCGCGTCTAGCCGCAGCCTGAACAAGATCTTGGCACAGTGTGACTCGTCTTCAAGGGAGTACGAGGAAATCCAGGCAGTGGAGCGCAAGTGGCATTTGCACCTGGCCACGCCGCGCCGCCTGCTGCTAGACAGGAGGGCCAAGGCCTCCCTCTTCTTTGCAGCCCCACCACCCCCAAAGAGGGCCCCCAGCACCACGCTGACCCTGCGCTCCAAGTCCATGACGGCTGAACTCGAAGAACTCGGTGAGCATTGCGGGTGGACAGGGGGTGGATGGTCTGCGGTGGGCTGGCCAAAGTGGAGTGGACACAGGCAGTTCGGGACGGTCGTGGTGCCGAACTGGGGCTCAGGCCAGGTAGAGACAGAAGGAAGAACAAACAGATGGTTGCCGAGACAGATCAGCACTTAGGGTACGGACTGGAGGGATGGGGAAACCGGGTACCTGTGTGGTGAGGAGATGAGGACTCGGGGCAGCAAGAGGGGCTGGAGTTGGGCAGGGACAACCAGGACAGATGGCTGGGGAACAAGGTCTGGCCCTGTAGCATGCCCGCATGCATGCACATGCATGTGTGTGAGTGCTTTCCCTGGTTCTGTGCTTTTTCCACTAAGACTTTGCTCTTGCATTTCAACCTAGCTGGCAAAGAGCGGTGGTAGGGCAACCTAGAGTCTGCTCCTGGATCGGACTGGCATGAGCTGGGTCCTATTTGTGTTTCTTTTACTCGGTTGGTACCTGTTCACTTATCTGCCAATTGAGTCTACTGACCTAACAGAGGCATTGTAAGCACTTCTAACAGTGAGGGCATGGGGCCTGGCGGGCTGTGGGGGGTGGACCGAAGTATGTGAGGCATTGATGGATACAGTCCCAGGTTGACTACAAACAGCCTCATCGTGGGCATGTCCTGATATACATGACCCCATCCTGGCCTATGACAGTTACCAGCTTTCTCCTGGCCATGTTCCATATGCATAACACATCCTGTATGCATGTGCACACGTATGGCAGTTTCCAGTCTCATGTACATGACTGCAATGTAACCAGGCTCACCATGGACCTGTCCCATGTACATGACCACCACATCTTGACAAGTGTAGCAGTTACCAGCCTTGTCATGGGCATGTTTCATATGCGTGACCGTATCTTGACACATATGCCAGTTAACCTTGTCATGGACATGTCTCATATTTACAGCCATGTCCTGACATGTGACATTTACCAGCCTCGTCATAGGTATGTCCTATATGCATGCTCACATCTTGACACATAGGACTGTTGTTAGTCTCATCCTAGGCATGTGCTGATGTGTGTGATTTTTATTGTCGTTGTGGGCATGTGCTAATATCTTTGACTGTTGAGAGTCTTATTGTGGGTGGCTATTGGTTAACAGTTTCATGGTAGGTGTATTCCAACACATGTGATAGGTTGAAGCAGTCTTTGCTTCAGTGGTTTGAGCCTAGTCTCAATCCCAGACTTTCTTCTGGCTTCAGTCATAAAAGGAAACCTTAATCCTGGCTCCCAGAACTACCCCTGTCTTGGCTGACCATGTCCCAGCTGTAGGCTGAGCTGCCACATTCTGAGCAGGTGCCTTGACTGAAGTTTGGAAAACACTTACCGAGAGATAGAATGGGCTGACATGATCAAGGTTTCCCATGATAAAACTCTGAATGAAATAAATAGAAACTACAGACAGTGTAAAGGAGGAGGGATTCTCTTGCTTCAGGAGTAAAGCAAGAAATCAAAGCCAGAGGAGTGGGAAATTGGTGCTTCCAACTCCTGATAGAGGTTCTCAACAAGGCTAGAAGATGTGCTGTAGACTTGGGAAAGCCGGAGACAGCCATAGGCACTGGGGTTAGCGAAAATGAACTGGAGGGGCTGGAGTGATGGCTTGGCACTTAGAGCGCTTGTGGCTCTTGCAGAGGACCCTGGTTTGGTTCTCTACACCCACGTGGTGGCTCATGACTCCATTTCTCATGGATCCAGCCCATCTGACCTCTGGGCAGGGAGGGAGCACCAGGCATGAATGCGTTGCACACACATATATGCATACATACATTCAAAATAGAAAAATCTAAAAAAAAATTTAAAAAGAACTAGAGATAAGAGTATGAGAGGCAAGAAAACCAACAGAATTGATGAAATTAACAGGGTAAGAGGAGCAATAATAGTAGCATGTTTGGGAATCCTTAACTTATTGAAACAAACAGGCACAGATGAGAAGGGTCTGCAGCTCGGTTACACAGGATCTAGGACTCCCTAAAAAACATAGCAGTGAGTAAGAAGATCAGGCAGAGCCTGCCCAGAATCAGCTTAGGAAGCAGGTGAGGTGGAGCATCAATAACCAGTCAGGAGCCATGAGGACAGGTGAGGAGACCTCAACATCTACGTGATAGGAATTCCAGAGGAAAATAATAGAAGGGCTAAGGATTTCCCAAAAGTTAACAGAAATGTGAGACTCCATTCTGAAGAAATATGTCACAAATAAACATGATCTGTCAGAGTCAAACTTTAGAATACCATAGGAAAGCAGAAAGATGTTGCCCGAGCCAGTAGAGGGAGCCAGTTGGCTTAGACGTGAGTGGTGGCTTGCTTTCTGACTTCATCAGTTATGATAGAAGGTAGAAAGAAGATAGTGAAAAGTGGGGTGCAGACAGTAAGAGAGCAGACCCATGACATGGGTCAGTACACCAGTATGAGTAGACCGCTGGGTCTGACTGGACATTTATGCATGGTCCTGGAGTCTCTTGCTAGAAGCTGTCCTCCAGGAACTGAGAGGCATCCCCGAGAGAGTGGAAGAGCTCCGTCTGGCTACGGCTTTTGCCTGTAGAAATGGGAGCAGAAGAGTCCAGTCTTCCCCTCTGTCCTGGAAGCCTCTGGAGAGGGTCACTCCTGTTATTACAGACCTTGGTGGGCCAGAGGAGCAGGGTATCATATTTCTGAGTAGAGTCTGGAAGAGGTATGGGGGTCATTCAGCAGGAGCCTCTGCCTACACTTCTGGGCCCAGGATCAGAGTTATTGAAACTGCCCAGTGAGCTGCTCTGACACAAAGACACTTATCTTAGGAGGTAATCTGGTCCTTCTGGGCATGCCTGATAATGAAGAAACCAGACCAACCAACATAGAGTTCTCCAAGTACCCAACAGAACAGCCCACGATCCAGTGTTCATTCTTTCTGTAACCGAGGCTGCTGTTGGATTGCCCATGCCTCCTGAGTTCTGGGATTACAGGCATACACGACCAGGCCTGACTTTGTGTTTTTAAAAAAGACTGCTGAGTCAGCACCGTTATAAGCATGTCTGTCCCGCCACTCCCCGATGCATCCCTTTAGGAGTCGTGTTTATCAGTGTGAGGTGAGGGGGATGTGGGTGCAGAGGTGGAGGCTCATGCCGTGTAGAGGGTGAGGCAAGGCAACGCAGGAGGAAGAAGAGGGGTGAGTTCCCTGGGAACTAATGGAGCGAGCAGAGGCTGATCCAGAATTAAGTAAATTAATTAAATAAAACGATGCTGGTGGTGGCTGGCGGAAACCAGTGGGAGAACTCTGTGGTGCGGCACATCCCTATCACCCAGGAGGTTGAGGCGGGAGGATTTCTGCGAGTTCCAGGCCTGTGTGGGCTACAGAGTGAGTTTAAGGTCAAGCTGGCCTGTGTAGCAGAATCCTGTCTCAGAAAGAGAAGGTTGGTCATAATAGTCGGGGGTGGGGGAGGATGGATAGATAATCCCATCCTCCACTCTCATTCTAGTCTGGGACTCTACCTTGTACATATTTGCTCAGCATGAATCGGACACGGGCTAATGGGGACCCGTGTCTGGGCCCTAGTGTAAGCAGACTGTTCCAGTTTATTTATTTAGGGGAAATTAAGACTTCCCTTATTTTCTGGGTCTTTCTTTTGTGATGAAGTCAGGGTAGGTCCCTGCTACTGCCTTAGCCTAGAGAAGATGTCTTTACTGTGCGCTTTGCTGCTCACATCTGCTTGTTGCTAGCGACCTGCTTTGGAATATGGAGGTGTCAGTAGCGGAGTGCTTGCCCAGCATGCTCAAGGCCATGAGTTCCACCTGCAGTACCACAAAAGCAAAACACAGCCGAAGTCTCAGTACAGAGTGCTCATAGGTGACCACTTTAACTAACTATCGCAGACTCTGAGCTTTGTTTTTTTGTAGTTACGTATCTTCATTCTGAACACACATTGGGCTGCTCCAAGTACAGCTTTATTGTGCACATCTTTGTGTGTGCATGTGCACATGTGCGTGTGCATGTGTATGAGTGTGCATGGACACACAGTGTGTATTCCTGCTTTTGCTTGTTCTCTTCTAGAGTTTTAGAGCATTGGTAGGCTTGTGCTCCTGGGCTAAGAAGGAGACATAGATGGGGACAGACCCACGAAGGCCTGGTTGTCGGGAGGTGGGGGTGGGGAGAACGGGGTGGGGAAACCGTTGTGCAAATGGTCTAGGTGCCATGGAAAACAGCCTTCCTCTTACTCCCTTTGCCCTGTTTCTCAATTCCAAGCTTCCATTCGGAGAAGAAAAGGGGGTAAGTCTCCTGCTATGTTTTTAGGCCTGGCTTGCCTGCCCCTGCCGAAGGGTACTGGCGTGTGATGAGGCTCCAGCCAAGTCAGAGTGGTCTGGAATCTGGCACACTTTCTTGTTCCTGCCTGGGGATTTGGTGGGGATGGATGGGGAGTTCCCAGGGGTATCATTGGGATTAATAGGGGGTACAACCATAGTCCTTGTGGGTTCAGGTGAGCTCGGGGATGTGATCTATGGAGATAGTCTGGTGGGGAGAATGACGGAGAATCCCTAGTGGGGGCCCCTTCAAATAACATGACCCAGAGTGGGGAGGGGATAGTTTGTGAGGGTCAGGGCATGGAACTCAGGACAGCCAGGTGCCTAGGCTGTGTTGGAATGGTGCTGTTAGGGTGTTAGGCTATGCCTTGTGCTGTATCTTTTGTCCCTTCTTTGCGCAGGCAGACTTCATGCTGATGAGTTATAGAATTGAGCCCAGAGCAGAGCTGCCATAGAATAGGGGTTTGAATCTGTTGGTATTGAGAAGGGAGCTGGACTCCCTTGCTTAGAACCCTCCCCCCTCCCCCCCAGTCTATTGACTTCACTATCCCCTCTTCAGGTTCCACCCCTGTGTCCTTTGAGGCTCCTTCTCCTATGACTTGTGTGTCCAGCATGGCTGCATGAGACACAGGGTCCATGTGGGGCCAGAGACACCAGGGCCTCAGTGGGTTTTGAGGTCCAGCATCTGGGGACGTCTACCCCAGCTTCTGTTGCTTCCTCTGCCTCTTGAGTGGATGGGAGTCAGCCTCAGATAGGCTTATAACTCAGTGTATGTGGATTTGGGCAGCCAGCATCCCTTCTCCTCTTACTTCTGATGCACTGGGTTTTGCCTGGGCAAGGGAACTCTCTGACTCTCAGCATATGATCCGTAGATTCCCCCACCTGACCCCCCAGTCTCCTCTTGCTGAGATCTGCCTTCTAGCTCCCTTATAGTAGGGCTCCTGTGATGCTAGGCTGTGGCCATGCACCTCTTCCAGCTCTGGGGGAAGTGATTGTCATTTCTGTAGGCCCTTCTTTTCATCTCTGCTTGGGTTCCCAACATTCTTTCCCACATGGCTGGCCGCTTGAAAGGCTGGTGGAAATAACTATACTTGGTTCTTAAGGGGTTTTATTTCATTTTTAAAATATCAACTACAGAGAAACCCTGTCTCGAAAAACCAAAAAAAAGTTATCTAAAATAATTTAGGATTAAGTTTTCTAATTTTGTTGTGGGTTTATGTTGGGGAAAAGTGTCCAACTTTTCATATGTAGAATTCCTAAATTCTCCCTCTTGGAAACAGTGCTTGCTGGGCCTCAGCACTATAGCAGCATAACCCTAAACAGCTGCTTTGTTAAAGTGTGTGTGCACTGACTGCTTGGATCTCTTGGACCAGGTTCTGTTGGTTTTTTTAGTTAAGAGACACGCATTCTCTAATCCATGGCTTGGCTGACAGTGTACCTTCATAGGACACGTCACCATGGTGTCATGGAGTTCTCATTCCCCTTATGTCTTTACTTCTACAGTTTCTGGATGGTGTGACTGCAAGGATCTGTGATAAGGAGAGTGCTCTGTGTGCATCAGTTTGCTCCTGGGAAACAGGAGGACGATGGCAGCATCTTGAGGTGGTCACTATGGCAGTCTTGTAAAACTCGGCAATACTGTATATCATCAAGGACTTGGCCAGGGTAGTGATTCTGCCTATCAGGGCTCATTTCATTGCAAAGATAAATGAGAACTTTGGCATCTGTGGTCTTTATCCTGTTACCTGGTGGTACCAGAAGCCTTGCTTGGGCCCCTGCACACTTCTCTACAGAGGGAACATGTTTTGTTGGCCAAGTGCTGTGTTGTTCAGGGCTCCAGAGGGGCAGAGTGTTTTCTTTATGAGGAACTCACAAATTGTCGATGAAGATAAGGGAAATGTCCTGACTGTGTCGTCAGCATCTTCATTGGTCCGTGTGGTCTGCATTGGCTAGAGTGGCTTAGGCTCCTTTGTGCTAATCTCCCCTAGACCTATGCCACATAGGTGCCGTTTCTGATTGTTTTATTAGGTGAAGGCACTGGGGCTCAGAGGGCATACATCTGAACAGAGTCCGTGTGCAAGGTGGGGGTCTCAATATGCCACTTAACAAGATCAACTTAGGAGTTAATTTACTCCTACCCAGCAATTGTTGTTAGATAGCAACAGTAGGTGCTGGGGCTTAGGTTTGGAAAGAATAGGAGGTTCAGACTGGCATTGGAGTTCTTGTTCTTTGAGAGTAGAAGGGTGTCTAGGACACGTGTCCCCTGAAGATGGGACTAGACTGGGTGGCCAGTGAGTCCCTAGGACCCATATGCCTCTGTTTCCTAGTGCCAAGGTTATAGGCATGCACTACTAGGCTCAGCCTTCAAGAGTTAAATATGGTCTGGAGACAGATGGAGCCTGAGGGCGCTGAGTGAGGATAGATACATAAAGCAGTGCCCCAGCCTCCAGTGTGCACCTGAGCACTATCCCTGAGTGGACTCTGGGTAGGAATTACATAGCTATTATCTCAGACAGCCATCATAAACCCCTTCCTCCTGCCGAAATGATTTTCTCTTGTGGTTCAGTCTGATCTCAGACTTGTAATCTTGCTTCAGTCTTTCAAAGAATGGGATTACAGGGATTGTTCAACCACGTTCCCTGCTGGGAGGATAAAGTACTGTGAAATAAAATGCTTGAGGAAGGAAGGATTTATTTGGCTTCCAGTTTGAGATCTTTTCCATCCCTAGTTGAGAGGAGAATGATGAATATTCTTGCTAAGCTGGTCCCTGTCCCCCCCCACCCCCTTTTTTGAATGGGGTAGCTTTGGAAGCTGTCCTGGAACTCTCTCTGTAGACCAGGCTGGCCTTGAACTCACAGAGATCTGCCTGCCACTGCCTCCTGAGTGCTGGGATTAAAGGTGTGTGCCACCACCGCCCAGCTTTTGCCCCCAATTTTTAAGCAGTTTGGGACCCAAGCTCAGGAAATGGCGCTACCCATTTTAGGATGGGCCTTCCCACATCAGTTAACGTAGTCAAGAATCCCTCACAGGTGTGTCTGGAGGCCCGTCTCCTGGGTGATTCTGAATTCTGGCTTTGAGGTTACAGGCCCGCACTCCCAGGCTCAGCTTTGACGTGGGTGCTGAGGATCTGAACTCAGGCCTTAGTGCTTAGGTAGCAAGCTCTTGACTTGCTGAGCTGTCTCCACAGCCCCCAAAGTCCCATTTTTTTTTTTAAAAAAAGGTTGCTTTAATAAAATTTGACTACACAAAGCTTTTCATTTCATAACTGATATGACAAGAATATGCCTGAGGCCGCCTGGTGTCTCTCAACCAAGCCTTTCTTAGGCATCAGCCTTAAATGGAGCTGAAGTCTGAGGAGTTTGGGTGGGTAGGCTCTCCGCGAGGAGAGTCCTTTCGACGGCACACCTACTTCTCCTCTTTCCTCAGCTGCCATCCTACTGGAGCCTTCCTTTTGTGTGGGCAAGGAGGAAGGAGCTGTGGCCTCCTGTTTTGTATCAAACCACTCTTAGATCCCTAGCTCAGGTTTAGTTCTTAGGAGGAACTTCCCATTGGTCTGTTCAGCCCTTGGTTATCAGCTTAATCACTCACATGGCATCTCTTGCTTTAACGTTAGTATCTGCCCCTGGGGCTGTGGTCCCACTAGAAGTAGCTTCCTGTGGGGGAGTGGATAGGCCATGCGCCAAGAAAAGACAGTGGGCAAAAAGGAGAGGTTAAAAGACAAAGGGAATTCATCTAAGTGGTCTGTCTCTGAGTCTGGTCTCCTTATGGCCGGTCATTGTGGTCACGCCAAGTGGTCACAAAGATACCCTGGGTCTCCTTAAGGACAGACTTTGGCTGGTTCAGGAACTGGGTCCTGAGGTCTGAGGGGGCACTGATAGGATCTAAGATCTAGGGCCTCAGGCCGTGAGAGACCTAGGGGAGGGCAGGGTTCATGGACTCATTAGTGCCATGGGGCTGGCATTGGTGGGTGTGGCGGTGAGGCCAAGGCGCCTCTGGGGCTGAGGTTGCATCTCTTTGGTTGTGCAGAAAAGTTGGATGAGATCCTGGCAGTTGCTGCGGAGCCGACCCTGAGGCCAGACATTGCAGATGCTGACTCCAGGGCAGCCACTGTCAAGCAGCGGCCCACCAGTCGGAGGATTACCCCTGCCGAGATCAGCGTAAGCCAGCCTTGGGCCAGGGCTCTGGGATGGTCAGGTCCAGGGCCTGGGGATCAGAGGGTCATGCGCCTCGCTTTTGAGGTAAGAGTTCTTTATTTGGCTCCCTTCTCCAGAGGAGGCAGAGCTCTCCATGGCCCCTCTGGGAGACACATGGGATCGTTTCAGTCTGTAGAATGGTTGCATGTAGTTCAGCTCGCTTCTATGGTTGCAGCTTTTAGTGCCTCTGACCTCAGTCAGATTCGGTGTCACCCTGGGACTACTAAGGTCCACAACTCTACTGAGCCTTTGGCACAGCATATGCCTGTTTGGAAGGCATCCGTAGCCCACATGGCACTGTGGACTGTTCCTCCCTCTATTCAGATGATGCCCAGGGCCTGTAATTCTGTGTTCATTTCACCACCCATACAACGAAGGCCTCAAGTGAGCATGGGCACCAGTGCCTTTGGGGTTTCTGGTGTGTGGGTGTCTAGTCTAGCTTAGGATGGGTGGGGCTGGATGGAGAGCTGGGTGCTCCAGAGCCCTGGAACTTCCATGTTCCTCCCTGACCCCACAGTCATTGTTTGAGCGCCAGGGCCTCCCAGGCCCAGAGAAGCTGCCGGGCTCTTTGCGGAAGGGGATTCCACGGACCAAATCTGTAGGTATGGCTGGGCTGAGGGACCGCTTGGGGTTGGGATGGCTGGGCTGGGCTGGGCGGCTTCAAGGGTTGGAGGACCCCATCTCTCTCTGCGGAGTTCAAGGATGCCATTTTGTTTATGGATCTGAGTTTGTTCTCCCACCCAGAGACGTGCCGTGGGAAGACACCCTTGAGGTTCTTTTTCCAGTCTGTCTCTCTCCATTCCTGGGCACTCCTTAGTTCTTTCCTTCCTGTCCTTCACTCCCGCCTTACACAGATAACAGCTGCCACCCGGACAGTTATTCCCTGTCCTGTCAGCCAGAGTGCAGGCCCAGGTTTTTATTCTAAAATTACTCTTTCCTTGAACCTACTTCATCTCTCCAGGTAGCATCCTCTCCCTGTCCCTTCATGGTCAGACCCGAAAGGTCACCTGTTACTGCTCTCTTGTCCCCATATGCTCATAAATTGGAAGCAGCAGGGTCTCTGCACAGCCAAATTGAAGCTGCTTCCACTAGGGTCGCCTCTCACTGAGGTCACCAGCAGCCTCAGGGCATCCTCCAGGCAGACACTGTTAGCCTTCCTTTCGCTGACTCCGGTTGGCATTCATTTCTTTGCACCCTGCTCTGAGCGACTCCTTGTGGGAGCGAGTTTCTTGCCCTCCCTCCCTTTCTTGGATGCGTTTGGTCAGCATATCCAGACAGTAGGCCAACTCAAGGCTGTGCCTCAGCCTCCTTTTCTTCTGTCCGTCATCATTCCCTGGCCACTACCACCCTCCACGCTTGCCTGCTGCTTCTAATCTCAGGCCAGAATCTCTGACAAACCCCGCTCACTGTGTGTTTCTCAGGCGTCTGGTCTCCTTGCAGTGCTGACCCATCCATCCACCACTCCCACCGTCTGTTGTGCGTCAGAGTAAACTCCTGCCAGCCCAAGGACAGGCCAGACATGAGGTGCTGCTATGCACACGGGTTCACTTAATATCTACAGTAACCGTGTGGGGGAGGGGGAAGGAAACAATTATTCATTTTACTTAAGGAGAGTGAGAATGACTTGCCCCGAATCACATAGCTGCCTTGCTTATACCTCCTGTCCATCCTTAAGCCAAACTAACTCTGCCCGTTACCCATCCTGGGATTCCTGCTTACTCTAAGCTGGCCCTAGGCTAGATCTGGGTCTCAGTTGGAAGGTGACCCGTCTATAATTAGGCCAGTTATAATATGGGTGTCAAAGGTACACTTATAAATGGAGACGGACTGGGGAGGTCCAGACATACACGGGCATCTGCATTTACACTTAGAACAGGGCAAGCAGAAGTTTCCCAGGGATGATGGTGTGAATGTCTGACGGAGGCCAGTGCGTAAAAACATGTGTATATATACGGGAGAGTCCATGAGCTGGTAGTGAGGATGGAGGGCAAGGGCAGCAGGTACTCTGGACCCCAGAGATGCTACTTTCTGCTCTCCCAAGCGTCTGGGCATCCTCTGAGGTTTCTTTATTTCCTGCCTCACCTGCCTTATCCAGCACAGGCTTGTCTTTCCCATGGCCTCTTGCAGTGGATCTGTTCTCTAGCCCATCTCTCTGGCAAAGGAAGCTTTTGTAGCATATTTATCACCTGATAGCCCTCTAGCTGGTCCTGCCCTGCTTCATCGGGGGCATCTGGTGCAGACTTTCTAGGACACTAGTCTTCCTCTACCCACTGCTGCTTGTCTGCCCTCACTCTTCCTGGATGGCCTTTCCCAGAGTTGGCTATTGTAGACCCAGATCTATGTACTCCTCATATTGGCCTCAAGCTCCTTGGCAAGCTGGCCAGCGCTTCCCAGCTGGACATAGCTGACCAGTCTGGAAGCAAGTGCTCAACTTTAGTTCTCCATGGCTAGCACACTGCCAGTTGCCAGCATGACCATCGGCCGAGTTCTCAGGCTCCTTGGGCTTCTGCTTCAGATCTGACTGCTTGACCCTGGGCATGTAATACAACTGTTGGAACCCTAGGACAACAGTCTGCAAACACGGATACTGCCAGTAGGGACTGTTTGGGGGATCATCCTTGAGTTGTGGTGGTTGCAACCGTCTTTTTATTCGGGCCCTGTGTCTTGAGGACACATCCGGTACCCAGAAAACAGTCCTGCTGCAGACCGGAAGACAGAGGTCTTTCTTTATTCTAGGGTCTCCAACAGACCCTTATTCCGTTCGAGGCAGGTGATTTTGCTTTTCCCTCAGGCACAGCCTACCATGCCATTCGTATTAAATTCCACCCCCTCTTCCATTGTCATACATCATTCCTACCTCCTGTAACCTTAAGATCTATGTGAGTTCTTCCTACATAGTTCCACCGAGCACACAGGCTTGCGAATGTTCAGTACATGTTCTGTGCTCTGTAGGAATGGCATCGGGAGGAGACCCAAGACCGGCTAGGCAGACCTTGAAATAACCTGCTGTGGCCTCAGTTGTCTTTCTTGGTGTCGCTCCCTGTTAGCCTTGAACTGTAAGCTGTAAATAGCCCTGTGATAGGGGCAAGAAAGGTCCTGGGATGAAACAGATTCTGAAAAGTGGCTAAGCTGGAATTCAAGCCTAAGTCTGCAGCAGCCTACCCTTGCTAGTCCTGAGTGGGCTCCTGACAGAGCCAAAGACAGTGGGTCACTGCCAAGCCTGTGTTCTACTTCTTCGATTGAGCCTCTCAGTGTTTACAAGTCTCACTGTATGGAACCCTGCACAGGTCTTATGTCTGAAATGACACGGGAGGTTCCGCAAGTGTCTAATCCTAATGACATCTCTGGACAAGAGGATGGGGCTCATTTTCAGTCAAGTGTAGCCTCTGAGAGAACAGGCCCAAGTGGGGCTTACCCCCTGGCTTGGGGGTAGTAACACGAGACAGTAGGGGTGAAACCGAAACCTGTCTTCAGTTTCAGTTTAGTTTACCCATCCATTCTTCCTTCCGGCTACCTATCCAGCTTCTCTAAATTTTAACCTCTGGCTAGGGTACCAACTTCCTAGTATCCTGCAGGCCAGTGCTTGAGAGTCTCTCCAAGGAACCAGTGTGGCGTATTTCCCAGCCACCTACCCTGGGTATCAGCGCCACTTCTTTCAGATGTGCGTGGGTCCATTACCACTGTTCTGCATCCCCTCACTGCTGTGTTATTACTTTGGGTGCTGGGGGGAGGGTATCCTTTCTGACCATCTTTCTTCTGCCCATCTCTGGTTGCTACCAGGGTCTCTGTTGGCTCCTGCTTGTTCAACACTATGAATGCTTCTGAGTTAGCTTTGCTCCTCCCTGTGTGGGAAGCCCCTAACCCCCTCCCCCACCCCATTCTCCTAACAGTTTTTGTGTGTATGGGGGGGGGGAGCTATACACTCCTGGTGTCTTCTCATGGCCTGCTCCATGTGTACAGGGCTTGGAGAGATTATGGCCTCAGTCCAGGCAGTCAGAGTTTGGGTCCTGTCCCAGTTCCGCTGCAGGAGCAGCCCTCCACACTGTGGGTGGGGTCGCTTCTGGACTTTCAACTGAGCTCTCCCTACCTGTACAGCATTTGGCACAGAGCGTGGGTGGCCTGCTCAGAGCTTTTGCGCTCTTCCTTGGCCTTCCACGGGGCTCTGATCCCATCTTCCTTGGTGGGGCTGTGGCCACTCAGGGTTGAAGGCAGGATAGGACTAGCCAGTGGCACTGGGTCCAGAGAGGTCTTTCAGTGGCCAGCATCCTTGCCAGACTTACCTGGCCCCTCCGTCCCCAGGGGAGGATGAGAAGCTGGCATCCCTACTGGAAGGGCGCTTCCCACGCAGCACATCCATGCAGGACACAGTGCGTGAAGGTCGTGGCATTCCACCCCCTCCGCAGACCGCTCCACCACCCCCACCCGCGCCCTACTACTTCGACTCCGGGCCACCTCCCACATTCTCACCGCCGCCACCGCCAGGCCGAGCCTTTGACACTGTGCGCTCCAGCTTCAAGCCAGGCCTGGAGGCTCGCCTTGGAGCGGGGGCCGCTGGTCTGTATGATTCTGGAGCTCCTCTGGGCCCGCTGCCCTACCCTGAGCGTCAGAAGCGTGCGCGCTCCATGATCATCTTGCAGGACTCTGCGCCAGAAGTGGGCGATGTCCCCCGGCCGGTGCCTGCAGCTACACCGCCTGAGCGCCCCAAGCGCCGGCCTCGACCGTCCGGCCCTGACAGCCCTTATGCCAACCTGGGCGCTTTCAGTGCCAGTCTCTTTGCTCCGTCGAAACCACAGCGCCGCAAGAGCCCACTGGTGAAGCAACTTCAGGTGGAGGACGCTCAGGAGCGCGCGGCCCTGGCCGTGGGTAGCCCCGGTCCAGTGGGTGGAAGCTTTGCACGAGATCCCTCCCCAACGCACCGTGGGCCCCGGCCGGGTGGCCTTGACTACGGCTCCGGAGAAGGTCTGGGGCTCGCTTTTGGCGGCCCTGGCCCTGGCCCCGGCAAGGAGCGGCGCCTGGAGGAGCGACGCCGTTCCACTGTGTTCCTATCTGTGGGTGCCATCGAGGGTAGCCCTCCCAGCGCAGAGCTGCCATCCCTACAGCCCTCCCGCTCCATTGATGAGCGCGTCCTAGGGACAGGCGCCCCCACTGGCCGTGATTTGCTCCTCCCCTCCCCTGTCTCAGCTCTGAAGCCATTGGTCAGTGGCCCTAGCCTTGGGCCCTCAGGCTCCACTTTCATCCACCCTCTCACTGGCAAACCCTTGGATCCTAGCTCACCCCTAGCCCTTGCTCTGGCTGCCCGAGAGCGGGCTCTGGCCTCGCAAACGCCTTCCCGGTCCCCCACACCTGTGCACAGCCCTGATGCTGACCGCCCTGGACCCCTCTTTGTGGATGTGCAGACCCGAGACTCCGAGAGAGGGTCGTTGGCTTCACCAGCCTTCTCCCCTCGGAGCCCAGCCTGGATTCCGGTGCCTGCTCGCAGAGAGGCAGAGAAATCCCCTCGAGAAGAGCGGAAGTCACCAGAGGACAAGAAATCCATGATCCTTAGCGTCTTGGACACGTCCTTGCAGCGGCCAGCTGGTCTTATTGTTGTGCATGCCACCAGCAATGGACAGGAGCCCAACAGGCTGGGGGCTGAAGAGGAGCGCCCGGGTACTCCGGAGCTGGCCCCAGCCCCCATGCAGGCTGCGACTGTGGCAGAGCCTATGCCAAGCCCCCGGGCCCAGCCCCCTGGCAGCATCCCATCAGATCCCGGGCCAGGCCAAGGTAGCTCAGAGGAAGAGCCAGAGCTGGTATTTGCTGTGAACCTGCCACCTGCTCAGCTGTCCTCCAGCGATGAAGAAACTAGGGAGGAGCTGGCCCGCATTGGGCTAGTGCCACCTCCTGAAGAGTTTGCCAATGGGATCCTGCTGGCCACCCCACCCCCTGGACCGGGCCCCTTGCCCACCACGGTACCCAGCCCGGCCTCAGGGAAGCCCAGCAGCGAGCTGCCCCCTGCCCCTGAGTCTGCAGCTGACTCTGGAGTAGAGGAGGCTGACACTCGAAGCTCCAGTGACCCCCATCTGGAGACCACAAGCACCATTTCCACAGTGTCCAGCATGTCCACCCTGAGCTCGGAGAGTGGGGAACTCACTGACACCCACACCTCCTTTGCCGATGGACACACTTTTCTACTCGAGAAGCCACCAGTGCCTCCCAAGCCCAAGCTCAAGTCCCCGCTGGGGAAGGGGCCGGTGACCTTCAGGGACCCGTTGCTGAAGCAATCCTCGGACAGTGAGCTCATGGCCCAGCAGCACCATGCTGCCTCTACTGGGTTGGCTTCTGCTGCTGGGCCTGCCCGCCCTCGCTACCTCTTCCAGAGAAGGTCCAAGCTGTGGGGGGACCCCGTGGAGAGTCGGGGGCTCCCTGGGCCTGAAGATGACAAACCAACTGTGATCAGTGAGCTCAGCTCCCGTCTGCAGCAGCTGAACAAAGACACACGCTCCTTGGGGGAGGAACCCGTTGGTGGCCTGGGCAGCCTGCTGGACCCTGCTAAGAAGTCGTCGCCCATTGCAACAGCTCGGTGAGCAGGGTGATGTGGGGAGGGGCCCGTCCCCCTGTCTTTGTTCCTTCTGTTCATCTTCAGGCTTCCTTCTGTTCTTCCGCATTCTGTCCCATCTCTCATTTGTCCATGGCACGGGTGTCCCCCATTCACCTCTTTATCTTCGTCTGGTCTTACTTTGCTGTCTGAGGTAGAAGGCTCTTTAGTACAGATGCTCTCTGCATCCCTTTTGGTGCAGGCAGTGGGCCTGGGTACCCACGAATCCTATCTTCCAGGACTCTTTGGAGGTCCTGCTGCAGGTTCGCAACTCTTTACTCTGGTTTCTAACTCAGGGCGCCTCTGCCGTTCAGGGTCTTTTCCTGTTGTGCTCTGTTGTGCTCTGGGGCTGCTCTTCCTTCCCAGCAGCTCTTTGGCCCTGTGTCTTCTGTCCCATGGCTCCATTTCGTTTTCTCTTTCTGATAGTATGGCTGCTCCATATGACAGGTGTCACCTCTCCTAGAGCAGCTTTCTTTCTGCCTTGCTTCTTTTTCTTTAGGGACTTGATACAAATTGCTTATGTTCTGCCCTAGAAATATTTGTCTTGTGGCACCTTGTGGGACCCTTACACACAGAGTCCTGGATGTGATATATAAGGCTTCATCAGGAAGAGTTGGAAATCACACCATCTCCTCTTCATCTCTTTTCCTTCCTTGTCCTGTCTGCCCCTCCCCCCGGTGATGATGAGGACAGGAGGAGTTGCTGATCTGGGGTCTGGATGTTGCTAAGGTTGTTGCTAACATTTTGTAGGCAGAAGCTGCCAGCACCTTGTGTTGATCCTTCAGGTCCTTTTTCGGGAGCCTTCCTTGGGGCTCCCATGTGGACTGCATAGGTTCTTGTGACAGCTGACCAGTTCTGGCTAGCTTCTTGTCTGTGTTTCTCAAGCTGCTTCTGCCTTTGCCCCAAGGTCCCCCTGTGTTGGGTTTGGGTGGAAGGCCACCTCTTGATTCCACACTCCTTGTTTCTTAGGTGCCCTTCACTGTCAGCTGTGGAAGACAGAATTCACAAAGTGGTGAGCAGGGCACAGCCTAAGAACCGCAGGTCTTACTCGAAGGGCCTGCTCATTTTACATTCTTCCAGGTTAGGATCCAGAAGATGAATGGGAGCTTGAGAAGTTCACACTGCCTCTCTTAAGAGGTTCAGGGACATCGCTGACGTTCAAGTGGCTTGTTTTCAGGCCTTCTCCCTTTGTGGCCTCTTTTCTCAGCCAAAATTGAAAGCCCTTCTCAGTAGTTCAGTGATGAAGGCACCCTTAGAGTAGGTGCAGTAGATATGGACTAGTCAGGATGAGTGGCTGGGCTCTCAGGTTTGCCTACAAAACTGGGTCCTCAAAGATAGAGGTGTCCTGATACAACCTTCACCGGACCTTTTTCTTCATTGTCTTTCCACCCATCCACTAGCCCTTCTGTTCCTTCCTGCTGCTTTTCTTGGTGAAAGTTGTGCATAGCTTATTGCTTAGCTCATTGCAGGGCCTCAATAAACATATATTAAATCAATAAAAGGAAGCTTAATGCAAGTGCTATATCATGGGCGCACAAGCAAAGATCTCTTAGGTTCCTAGTAGCACCTTTCGTAACACACTGCGTTTGTACTCCGTAATTTTACATTGCAGTGGTAGACTTTTGCTGTATCGCTGTTACTCATGGCATTTCTTAGCTATATAAGTAATAAATTATACTGAGCGCTCACTCAGCTTAGCATCACTAAACTGCCTTGTACCCTGTGTTCCTCCATTTGCCTCTGTATTTCGTTCTGTTCCCACTCACTTTTCTTCTACCTTTTGGGCTCTTTATTTTTGGTTTTGGTTTTGGAAACAGGGTCTTGCTATGCTGTCTGAGCTGGCTTTGATCCTCCTACCTCTGTTTCTTCAGTGCTGGCAATCACATTGTCATACCTGGGTGTAACAACGGTCACCTGGAGTGTGTCCTGCTGTCTGCCACAGGGCTTTCTTTTCTGGCTACAGGCATGGGGCACTTGTGACTTTGTGTACATCCAGCTTATTTCAGACCTGGTCTTTTGTCTGTCTTTGTGGACACTCTGGCTTTGATGTCTGTTGGGGGCTGTAGCTCAGCACTGGCCTGGTAGCCAGTGGGGGCTGGAATCCAGTATTCATGTCTGACTTTGGGATCAAAATCACCAATGAGCCTTTCTCTTAGAGAAGTGTCTAATAAAGTGTGTGACTTTCTGGTGTCTGGGTGTGACTGTGTCCTTCTCAGGATCTGTCCTGGCAGAGGTCACATCCTTGTGCCACATCTTTGGTTCGTGTGTGGTCCCCTGGTTTTACCTACCAGGCTCATCTGTCTCTTGATGGATTCCACCAAGTTGGGAATGACCCTTTTTTGTCTACCTTCTCTACAGATGTCTTAGTCCAGGCAGTGATAAAGTCTAGCCACAGGAGCTCAACAATCTGAACTTTTTGAAGAAAGCACAGTAACTTGTAGATCAGCCCATTTACACTGGGCCCATCGTTGGGGTTGAGGCTGGAGGGTAATGTTGTTCTTGGTGCTGCTGTGAGGTCCGTGTTCCCACCTGTACTTTCACTTCTGGTTGAAGTTCTAGCCCCCGCTGGTCAGATTCTCATGTCTGAAAAGGCCTTACTTAGGCCGTGTGTTATTTGCTCATCGTTTCAAACCCAACCTTGGGCCCCGCAGCTGGTTGTGGAGCCCCACCTGCCTGTCTTGAGACCTGCGCCTGTCTCCAGATTCCACTTTCTTCTGGGTCTCGTGTTTGGGCTTGAATCTTCCATGTGGTTTGAAACCTACAGCAGTGCTGTTTTGCCTTGGCTTTCTGGGAAGGGATTGGTGCTGAGGATTGAACGCAGGGCCTTGTGCATACTAGGCAAATGGTCAGCTGTTAGGCTACGCTCCCCTGCTTTGTTTTATTGATATATAGAACCTTTCTTTTTTTCTCTTTTCTTTTCTTTCTTTCCTTCCTTCCTTCCTTCCTTCCTTCCCTCCTCTCTCTCTCTCTCTCTCTCTTTCTCTCTTTCTTTCCTACCTTTATTTATTATATGTGTGTGTGTGTGTGCACCTGTGCATGTGTACACATTTTATGGTGTACATGTGGAAGTCACAGAATAACTTATGGGAAGTCAATATTGTTTTTGCATTTTGTGGGTACCAGGGATTGAACTCAGGTCATCAGGCTTGGCTGCAAGAGCCATCACCTACCGAGCCATCTCACCCACTTGAGATAGAGCCTTTCTATATAATTTTAGGGTGGTATTGAACTCACTTTGGAGCCCAAATTGGCCTTAAGCCTAAGATCCTTCCCCTTGTTGCCTCCCAAGTGCTGGGATCACAGGTGTGTGCAGTCATGCCAGCTGACTCAGTTTTATACCTGGCAGATCCTCACTTGTGTTTAAAGAAACCACGGTGAAATAGCTTTGGAAATGTTTGCCGCAGTGTTTCTGAATGCTTCCCCCCCCTGCCCCACATGCTTGCGTGTGGGTGGTCAAAGTGTGCCCTGTTCATTCGACCTGTTGAGGTCACTGAGGAGATCTCACGGGAGACCCATTTTCCAGTCAGGTGGCTCTGCAAAGCCCTGCCCTGTCTGTCTGATACAGGTCCCGCTTGCGTGTTAAGGGTGTGGACAGAGCCTGTGTGCACAGTCATACATGAAGGTTCTTGAGACCAGGTGGATCCTGGGGAAGGGATGCATATGTGTCTCTGCAGATCAAATGCACATGCATTCTCACAAGTCCAGACTCAGGGTAGAGAAAGAGATCATAAGAGAAGACAGAGGGACCCTGGGCATGTCAGTGTTACACAGGCCAGGCGGCAGAGAGGACTTATGCTTGATCTGTGTTCCTACTAAGAATTGTCCTGTAATGAGATGGGGCCTCCAAATTGCCAAAAGCCACAGGCCTAGACCTGACCCACCTGAGTGCAAAGGCAAGTAGGCCTGAGGTACTGGCCAGGCCCAAATAGGAATCTTTCCTTGCCTGTTGGTATCAGTGGGCTGACAAAGGTAAGGCGGTCTCTGGAGGAAGATGTTGTGGTGTGTTTGTAGGGTGACATCTTTTTGTCAGGGTGTATTCTATTCCTGAGTATGTGCCCGGATCCAGGAGTCAAGGAAACTGCAAAGAAGGAATTGAAGGGCTGGGGTGTCGCTGAGCTGTGGAAGGCTTACCTGGCATGCATGAGGCCTGTCTTTTATCCCCAGCGGAGAGAAAGGGAGGGGGAAGGAAAAGGTGAAAGGAAGGGAGGGTGGATGGTATAAGGACCTGAAACTATGAGGGGCCTGGGCTCCTGTGATGAGAAAGGACCTGGATTAATGTGAGGAATTGGTGATATTTGCCAAGGATAAAAAGGTAGAGGAGCCCCAGGCCTCTCATGTGGGTGCTGTTCACCGAGGCAGGGTTGGATATCCTGTATGTTAAGAGGGGTTAAGAGATCCCAGTAGAAACCTTGAGCTCAGAAGAAACCCATGGGTTCTCACATATGGCATTCCTGGGCTTATTAGTCATAGCAGAGAATGGGGGTAGATGCCTCGGCCTCAGAAAGTACAGCTTATGAAAGAGTGTGGGCTAGAAAATTCATGCGGGAAGGAAGCCGCTGAAGAAAGGGTTCCTCCAAGGAAGCAGATGAGCCGGCCGGTCAGCCAGGGGACCCTGCCTACAGCCTTGGTGGTGGCCAGGGGCAGAGGTCAGATCTCACTGACTGGGACTGCCTGGGGGGCAAGGTCTTAGAGGCGGCGTCAGCCAAGGGCACCCTAGAGGGCAGCAGATGCTGTGAGGTGACCTTGTGGTGGACACAGTCTGACGATTCAGTGGTCAGTCAGTCCCCTGTTAGTGGTAATCGCCAGAGGTAGGTGTGCAGAGGTGTGTGTAAACATGTTGAAATCAGATTTGTACAAACTGGGGTTTCTGCCCTGGGGACAATGTAGGTAGAGCTCTTCCTCAAGAGGTGGGCAGGGAACAGACACTAGTAGTTTGGCTACTTCTTGCATACACACCCTTCCTTGGGCTTCTCTTCTAGGCCTCCCAACATCTCCAACACTGGTGGAGGTTGTTGAGGTTTATGACCAGCCCTCTCTCTACTCCCAGTCCACTGGCTACAGACTCATGTTTCCGGACCCTGGGTGCCTCTGAAGCCAGTTTGCCCTCAGCCCAGGCCTCCAGTCACCCCTGCCAGGAAGGAAAGCCTTGACGCTATCCAGACAGGTATAGCTGCTTGGCCCAGCTTAGACCTTTTGGACCCAGACTCTCTTCTGAGCTCTGCTTAAAGCTCCCACTGCACTGCCTTATGACTGTTTTGTAGCCTCCAGTGTAGCTGCTGAAACCTAACCCTTGGAGTAGGTCTTGTGTAGATGTCTGTTCCGTGACACAGATGCCCGGGTGAGGGTCAGTATGAGTTCAGGGGGAGAAACAGGCAAGGTGACATTCCTGGCTTTGTTTTACTCTGTATGTGACTACACTCTGACCTCACAACTCTGCTTCTAGTGCACCTCACCTCTGTTTGCCACTCCACTTTGCCCCCAAAGCCAAGATGGCTCCATGAGGCCAGGTTCCATAGGAGTGAAAGTTTCTTCTGGGGGCTTTGCCTGTTCCTGTGTGTATACCTTGGATGTTCTTGGAATATTTGTGTTGGGGCCACTATCTGGCTTCTTCAAGAAGCTCTACCAGGGGGTCTGAGCAGTTGGGAGGAAGCAATATGGACAGGCTGAGGAGAGAGCCATTAAAATAAGGTCTCCAGGGAAGGAGTAATCCGTGCAAGAGATAAGTAGAAAGTTGCTTTAACGGAATGTGTTAGCTTTCTCTTCTCTGTGACGGATTTTGCCTTACAGGAACAACTTGAATAGGGAAGATGTATTTTGGTTTATAGTTTCAGAGATTTCAGTCCATGATTTCTTGGCCCCATTGCTAGGGAGAGCATTATAATTGGGGAGGGGTTTGGGGTAGTGAGTCATTTCAGGGCAGCCAGGAAGAGAGAAGGACCCGGAAGGGGAAGGAATAAGACCATCAAATTATGAATTCATCAATGTATTGTTGTGATCATTATTGATTTTTTTTTTTTTTTGCGGGGGAGCAGAGTCTTAACATGTAGCCTTGGCTGGCCCGGGCTTGCTATGTAGATCAGGCTTGCCTCAGAGTGACAGAGATCTGCCTGCCTTTGCCTGTTGAGTGCTGGGATTAAAGGTGTGTGACGCCATAGCCAGCCCCCCATTATTAATTATTAATAATTCATATTAATTCATTGGTTAGGACAAAGCCCTCATGATCCAGTTACCGCTCAGTGATTGGATACATCACTGCACCTTCAGAACGCAAACCTTTTAAGGGAATATTACATAGCTGAACTATAACAAGGAGAGAGAGGTATTGAGGGGACTCCGGCTGGTGTGGAATAGGCACTGTGGATACTGTGCAGAGTGGGCAGGAACTTAGGCCAGCTTAAAAGAGAAGGCATTGTGGGGGTGGGGGGTGAGGTGGCAGCTGGAGAGAGGTTGGTCAGACAGTGGAGAGACTTAGCAGACTGCAAGACACCGCTAAGCCGCGCTTAAGGGTCTGCACTGCACAGCGGAGAGAGAGCCAGAGAGAGGAGGCAGGTAAATCGGACACCTTCTAGCCTAGCTCTCCTAGGGACTTTCTCTTCCCCAGTACCTTCTGAGTTCCAGCCTCCATAGAGTGTCCCACAGGGGTCCCTGAACCTGGCTGTCCATTGTGTGGTTGTGACCGAAGGCTTTGTGGGCCTGGCCTGCTAACACTCTCTCTCATTGCTCTTTCCTGCCCATCTGCATGTGGCTGCTCTGTCTAGCTGCGCGGTGGTCCCGAGTGCCGGCTGTGTAAGTGAGCATGCCCATCCCATGCCTCTCGCAGTTCACACGCTGTGCCTGGCTGCCCCTGGCTGCTCTGCATGGCTACGTGGGGCTTTGGTGCTACTGACGGCGACCGAGACTGTCCTTGGCCGTAGTAAGGGGTCGAGATGGGAATGCGGGGCCGTGGGAGCAGGCTTCCTTTAGGGCAGCCGCCTCAGGTTGGCCTCCAGCCAGGCAGGCTGGGGCGGGGCTGGAAGTCCAGGATCCTGCCAGGTGAGGCTGGGAACGGAGGTACCATTTGCCTTGTGTGTCTGCCTGTGTGCGCCTGCATTTCTACCATTACTGCTGCATGTCTGCAGCACATCTAGTCACCATTGCTGCTGTGGTGTGCTCTTCTGTGCAGGGAGACTGTCTTCCAGTTACCGTGTGCTATTGCCTCAACCTCTTGTGGGTGTGAGCCCTGCCTGGTGTTTGTCTCCAGTGTTCGTGGACCTGTTTGGTCTTCTGCCACTGCCAGCCTTTACCATGACTCGGCTGTCCCTGAGACTGGCCCGGGTTTTCTGGGTCTGTTCGAGCTTGGGAACCGAGTTGTATGTGGGGAGCGGTCAAGATACTGTTCTAGTCTTACAGTCCAGAGCATCTGTGCACGGAACCCATGCCCGCAGACGACTGTGTTAGAGGCTGGCAGGGAGGGGCAAGCGGCTCTTGTCAATGAGAAACTCTTCTTCGGTGGAATGCTATTGGGGCCTCCATGGAGAGCTCTGTGGGGGACTAGTCTTACTCCTTAAGATTCCAGTCAGTCTGAGAATCCCCCAGAGTAAGGCAAGGCACAGGCCAAGATGTTTTTGGTTTTCGTTTTTAAAAAAAGAGTGACCACAGGATATTCCTCCAGCCCTAGTCCTCCTGGCTCTGCTCCCCTCTGTCCACCCCGACTTCACTTTCCGCCCCTCACCGGGCCCTCACCCACTCTCCCTCCGCAGGCTCTTCAGCAGCCTCGGTGAGCTGAGCACCATCTCAGCGCAACGCAGCCCCGGGGGTCCTGGCGGAGGGGCCTCCTACTCGGTGCGGCCCAGCGGCCGGTACTCCGTGGCGAGACGAGCCCCGAGCCCAGTGAAGCCCGCATCGCTGGAGCGGGTGGAGGGGCTGGGGGCGGGTGTGGGAGGCGCGGGGCGGCCCTTTGGCCTCACGCCTCCCACCATCCTCAAGTCGTCCAGCCTCTCCATCCCGCACGAACCCAAGGAAGTGCGCTTCGTGGTGCGAAGTGTGAGTGCGCGCAGCCGCTCCCCCTCGCCATCTCCGCTGCCCTCGCCTTCTCCCGGCTCTGGCCCCAGTGCTGGCCCCCGTAGGCCATTCCAGCAGAAGCCCCTGCAGCTCTGGAGCAAGTTCGATGTGGGCGACTGGTTGGAGAGCATCCACTTGGGCGAGCACCGAGACCGCTTCGAGGACCATGAGATCGAAGGCGCACACCTGCCTGCGCTCACCAAGGACGACTTCGTGGAGCTGGGCGTCACACGCGTTGGCCACCGCATGAACATCGAGCGTGCGCTCAGGCAGCTGGATGGCAGCTGACGCCCCACTTCCTCTCCCGTTCCTGCTGCGCCCTGCCGGCAGGGCCCCTACCCCTACTCCAGGCCGCAGGCTCGGCTCGCCCCCTACCACGGCGCCCGGGCCAGGAATGTTGCATGAATCGTCCTGTTTGCTGTTGCTTGGAGACTTGCCCTGTACATTGCTTAGTGCCCTCCCCTGCCGCTGAACCCCACCCAGCACACAGTAAGGGCGCGGACCAGGGGGGCTGGGTGGAAGGGGGTTAGGGCAGGGTGCTCTGGCCTGACCACCTCCTTCACAGCTCCTGGTGGCCATTCTCCCAGAGGGGGAACCTAGTCCAGCATGCGAGGTCAGGACACGCCTTGGTGACTCGGGGGGAGGGGGGAGACATTGGGGTTCTTGATGGGGGCCACGGAGCCCCCTGTTTTACATATTTTAATCCACTCTATATTTGGAACGAGAAAATGAACAAATATCTCTGTCCGTAACAGTTCCCACCCTCTTCTCCTCTAGTCCTCTCGCTGGTCCCGCCACAGCTGCCCAGTCTTCCATCTCTGGCCCCTCACTGCCACCCCATACAGGGCAGGGGACACTCCAGCTGGCCTGGGGTTAGCCAGGGTCCTGGCAGCCCACCCTGGGGACCCCGGCTCAGCCCCCTTTCCCTTGCTGAGCTATAGTATGCCCCACCCACCCTTTAGGTGCTGCTCAGGGGGACGGGTGGCAGGCATTGCCTGCTGGGCACTAGCAGGGCCAGGTGGCCTGGGAGATTATTGCCCTGGGGCTGGGCCCCGGTAACCCAACCCCAGCCATCATCTTCACAGGGTCTCTCCCAATGGAGGGGTCTAACCTTCCCACTTCTTGGGCAACTACAGCAGAGAAGCCTCCCTGTCTCGCACCCCAAAGACTCCCCATTCCTGCCCTGTGTGTGTGCCACATATGTGTGTGCACGCCTGTGTGCTTGTGAAAAGTGGGTGTGGCTGAGCGCATGGGTGCCCTGTATGTGCCTGATTGTGGAGTGGTCCCCAGGGGCTGTTCTGGATGGGTGGGAGGTTGCGGAAGCTTGCGCAGGGTGCCTGCATGGGTGTGTGCCTGTGAAAGTGCCCTGTCTTCTCCAAAGAAAGGCTGCTCTTGCGAGTCGTGCTGTTTTCTCAGCCTGCTCTTGAGCCTCACCCAGCTTAAGCAGGATTTCTTGGTGAATCCTTTTAACTTCGGGAGGCCTCAAGGGCCCCCTGCAGGCAGTATCCCCTTTGGGCTTCTAAAGGGATTGTGGGGACCACTAAAAAAAAATCAGGCCACAACAGCCCTTGGAGAGAGGCAAAGACTCCTGAGGGTGCCCTGGCCCCCTTACTGTGACTCCCCACACTCAGCAATGACCTGTGGGGTGGGGGCCCTGGGGCGTTTTTAAACATAGGGTTTGGAGTCTGGACTAAGCTCCATCCACGTCACTCACAAGTTTCTGTTTCTATTTCTAGCTTTTTTTAATAAAAATAAAAAAGACAGAAAACAGATGTTTTCATGGCCCAGGGGCTTGGCACGCCGGTCTGTGCTGGCCCACCGGCCCCATTCCCTAGACAGAGTCACACCCACTATAACCCCCTCACCAACAGACCAGGTCACACACAGCAGCGGTCACTGGAACGGACTGCCACATACACAGTCTCACCTTTACCTGTGGGTTTTTGGTTCTGTTCAATTTGGGTTTTTAACTTTACAGGGTCAGTTCCGCTTCACCCCTCCTTTTGTATGGAGTTCCATCCGGGGGCTTTCACCCCTGCTCCAGTCCTGAGGCCTCCTGACCCTGACGTTGTGATACACCCCACAGAGATCTATGTTTCTTATATTATTATTATTAATAATAATTATTATAATATTATGTAATAAATTTATAAGAAATGAAACCCTGTCTCGGTTGCTTGCTTAGGGTTAGGGAGGAGCGTCTGCTCTTCAGACAAGTCACAAAGGCCCACAGCCTCGACCCAGTGTACTCTCGACCCAGCGATGTCTGGAGCAATCCTTTGTAGGCTTTCCTGTTGGACCAACCTATTCTAGATTGCTAGACCCTGGCTGAGGTTTTCTACATACTGTTGAACACACCTCACTAGGTAGCACTTTAAAAAAATATGCATTTTTATGTCTGTCCATGTCTGTGTAAGTGTATGCCACGTGTGAGGGTGCCCTTGAAAGCTATTTGGCATTTAGGCAGGTGTGAGCTCTCCAGTGTGGGTGCTGAGAACCAAACCCCAATCCTCTGCAAGAGCAGCAAGTGCTGTTAATGGCTGAGCCATCTCTCCAGCTCTGGGTGACAACCTCTAGACTGATGGGCCTCTGAGATCCCGGCCACTTGTTTTTCTTCTGGTGTTGGGGATGGAACCCAGGTCAGTACTTTACCACTGAACAGTGCCAGCCCCACTCTCTAACCTGAGATTTGAAACCTGCCTCCAGTGTCCATTTGTTTATAAAATCTGCTTTAAATTTCAAGCCCCACGTCCCTCCCCGTTGTGCTGATCCTCGGCTGCTGGGTTGCCCACCCTTTACCACACTTGGTGGCCCTGCTCTACATCCCTTCTCCCTGGGAACTCCTGGTTCTGCTGTTTCCAGAGTCCCAGGTGGAGCCTCCGGGTTCCCAGCGATGTCTCGTGTTAGAGGAAATTGGTGCCTCTCGCCTCGGCCACCTCTGCTCCCTCAGAGGCCAGAGCTAGCTTCTCGAGGGCGTGATGTTTGCCTTTTCCTGTTACTCTGAGCCACGTGCCGGACACAGACTTGACCTCCGAGAGCCCATTTACAGACAGTGTGAGCTGCCATCTGTCACTAGCCAGTCACATAGCGGGGAACCCACACTTCAGGGCATTGGGACAGGTGCCTAGCTGCAAGCATAGTTAAGTGAACAGGCAGACGGATTCTGACTCAGCACGAAATTGGAGAGAGAGCTAAGAAATCAAGAGATGGAACATGCCTGAAGGAAGGAGCTTGGGACCGCAAGTGGGTTAGTGGCTTCAGCATCATGAACACCAATGACAGGTTCTGAAGTTATCTGAAGTTGTTCTGAGTCAAGGGTGAGGCTAGGAAGGAGCTGGTTAGGAAACTGGGGAGTAGAAGGTATCCTTGATGGTGGGAGAAAGAAAGTGTCCCAGGTGGCTTCAAGGAGTAGATGAAGGTCTGGCGTCCTAAAATCGCACTCCCTTCAAACGCCTGTGCTTCCTAGAAGCTTTATGACAAACTCAAACCTGGGTGGGCAGAGCACCTCACTTGTCTTTGTAACCCAGGGCAGGTGCCAGGCGTCTAGTCTGTTCCAGAATTGGAGTAGGCTCATTCTGCAGTGACTTGTAATGATCTAGAATGTAGACACGATGTAGAATGATCTCCAGACTCAGTCCTTACGTACTTCTCGTGTGCGTGTCTGTGTTAGACACATAGACACACACACACACACACACACACACACACACACACACACACACACTTGGTTTTTGAGACAGAGTTTCTCTGTGTAGCCTTGTCTGTCCTGGAACTCACTCTGTAGACCAGGCTGGCCTCGAGCTCAGAGATCTGCTTGCCTTGGTCTCCCGAGTGCTGGAATTAAAGGCACCCATCACCACTGCCCAGCACCATTTTTTTTTGTTTTTAAAACATATAATTGCATTTTAATTTATTTTGTGTGTATGTGTGTGAGCCTGTGTGCTTGTTGCACGTGTGGGAGTCGGGTGCCTCCTACCATCATGCTGGTCCTGGGACTGAACTCAGATCATCAACCTTGGTGGTAGGTACCTTTCCATGCTGATCCATCTCGCTGCTCCCCATTTCTTGGCCATTTCCCAAGCCTTTGGGGGCTGCTTATCTGCTACGAGCCACAGGATTATGCAGTAATTATACAGCCATCTTTTCATGAGGTCAGCCCATCAGAATCAAGGCTTCTCTTGGAGGATTACCCCAAGATGCAAGGAGTATTGGAGTTACTGCCTTATGAATGAACTGGCTGTTTCTTGCTGTAGATTTCTCCTATAGCTTATTCCCAACTGTTACAAGCTTGGGATTTGTCTTCCTCAGTTCAGCACTATTTATTTGATCATTTATTGGGCACAGTTACCCCTATGCATTTGGGGTGTATTGATTACACCCCCTAGCTATGTGTGAAAACAGTCACAGAGTCAAAATACCTGTTTCCCACAGGTGCCTTGTTAATTGTATTTTAAGATGAGCTATTACCAAAAGAATACAATCTTATTTACTAGGACATGTGGCCAACTGTATGATTTGTTGAACCAAGGTAAATAGTGCAAAGTAACCTAAGTGCAGTACCAGGGACAACAATGAACTCTTTGCAAGGATTCCTATCCTCAGTTTTATGGCCTTTGCTCAGACACCAGGGATTAAGATTCCATGACTGGCCAGGGCTAGTGACAAAATATAAGCCGACTTCATAACCCCAAAGTAGAGTTACAAGTTTCCCTTTCTATGGTAGGGTTGCATAC